ATAAGGTTTTGTCTGATGAGCAGGGGCTCACACATAGGATCGCACAAACGAAGGAAACATACGAGGTCAGAGTTCGCCTCTAAACCTGCACAATTATAGGGGACACTAAAAGCAAGCCTAAGCTTTGCACAAGAGGTTACATAGACCAGGCATGGCTAGTATAGCCAAGTGAGCTAAGTTGAACTCACATAGATAAAGCAAGCTTGAACGTGAGCTCAGGGATTTTGCGTAAGCTCATAAATTCCTCATCATCATCAGTATTTTTTTCCATAAATACTTCAAAATGACAGCCAAATTAAACCGTTTACAGTGGAAGACTTTAAAACAACATATATGTAACTTAAATGCTAACCCGTCCCATACCGGGTTGTTTTACATAATTTATCCATCCTAGATGTTTGAATAAAAATTTTGAACTTAAATGGGCAGAGCAAGTCTTTATGTGTGACATTTTCCTTTTGTCCAACCTAGAACCTTTGGTCTCTAAGACGCATATTGTACCCGGCTTATAAAACTCAACTTGTTCATGGTTTGCATGAATAAAATTATTTCACGTCATAAATATTAACTTGTAAAACTCTATACCAAATAATATGCATTTTCTGAAACACTGAAAGAAAAGATATTTCATAAACTGTCTAGTCGGTATAGGTGATTTTGTCACTAGCATTCCCTAGGTTATCAGACCTGCATCTGTCTAGGCACCCATTACAAGGTCGTGTCACTTGTCGCTTTAAGGTTTGGTCTAACAATTGGTTTTGACATAAGATTTGTGCATTAAGTCAATCAAAATCCTAAGTTTTATGCTAATCCCATATGTTCTTACATGATGGATGTTGTGAAAATTCCTATAGGAAGTTGTAGGATCGACAAGTGGACTTGAACACTTTTTGGGCCCACTTTTGAGCCAAAATTTTAAAGGCTTTTGTTGGAACTTGTACTCAGTTTTGAGCTTGCAACTCGGACCAACTTTAAAGACTTTTCATAGGCTTTGAGACTTTGAGTTAAACTATTGGGCTTCCATTTTATTTATTGTTGGACTTATTTTTATTGGCCATGGGCCCTAATGGATGTTATGTAGCATTAAACAAAGGGGATCCCATTCCATCTCTCTCTCTCTCTCTCTCTCTCTCTCTCTCTCTCGAGTTGACTTTAGGTAGTTGTTGTAAGCTTTCTCTCTCTAGTTTTCTCTCTAAATTCGGTTCTTTAGTTCTCTCTTTCGGTTTTACTACAAGGTCGAAAGTTTGTAATTTTTTTTTCTTAATCCGAAGCTAATTTCAGTTAGTCATTGTTCGTCTTATTTTTACTTATGCCTACGTGAAATATTTGTTTTTCGGTTTGACTTTTAGAGAAAGGTTTGATCGTGGCTTTATATTGGAATCTATTTTCATTGTGGCTCATGATTATTATCAAAAAGGGCGAGATATGAGTTTTACAAGGAAACCACGCAAATGCTTTAAGTTTGGAACAATTTTTTTTGCCCAAGTCTTCAATTACTTTTGTTATTTAGAGCCTTATATTTCTTACTTTAATTTACTGTCATTTACAATTTAGTCCTTTTATTTATCGTCATTTACATTCAAGTCTTTTAATTTATGCAATTTATTTTTGCATTTTATTTATTGTTATTTGCATTTTTGCACCATTTATTTTCTGTAATTTCTTTAATAGTTAAGTACTTGCGCAACAAGTTTCCTTTTCTAAACTTCAATTTTTGCAATTTATTTTATGCATTTTCCCATCTCTATTATTTACATTAAAGTCTTTACATTTTTTGTAAAAAGAAACATCGTGATGATAAGATGACAACCTTAGCTTGGGGTATAAGATTTAGACCGGTGAAAAGGTAAAAAAGTGTCTCAAATATAACATTTAGTCTAACTTTATATAAATCAGAATATTAATATTTCATTGAAGATTATATTTAATTAATTGACAACTAAATATTTGTATGAATATGTGTTAGCTTTCAAGAAGTTACTTTAAATAACGTTAGTCTACTATAATATCTTTTGACTGGATTACTTGTTTTTATTTTAACGGATCTTTACACCATTTGCTTCTTTTTATAACTGATTTTTCTGTAGTTGATAATTCATCAACCAATCAAAAGATTTCTTCGAATTCGTCATCTAAAATCAGTTTTCAAGGACCGGAGTTTTTGAAAGACTTTACAAGCCGAAACGATATTCGGTACTTGTTACAATATGACTGTAGATTAAGGTATATACTTGTGTCAAGGTCTAGTTTGCCATTGAATTTTAAGGGTTGCATAAACCTCACGACCCACACATTAAAATTGATTATAAAACTTCCGTATGAAATATGATGTTAAACAAAACAAGCACATAACATGCAACTGATCATAAATAACATATATGTAAACATTTTGTATCATGTATATCAACTGAAACATCATGCATACATATACATTACCACATAAATCATATGATGCTCAAAAATAAATTTTTGTTTAGGTACGCAACTATACATCCCATTGTCAGTCTCATGAAGACTCATTTGTCTGTGTAGATCCACTACGATAGCTCCTGACCGAAGGCCCACACATTTCATACCATAAACAGTAGTCAACTATGGTCAAACACAACGCGACCCAAAGTCAAACTCCAAAACCGAGTCTCTTAATATGTCTTAAATATCTGCATTTGATCTCATCGTTAAAATCCTTGTAGATCAAACGAGGGAATTGTCAACCCTTCAACTTGGTCAACCTCGACTAACTTTAGTCAGACACCAAGTCTAAAACTCGATGATGCCTCAAAACCTCAAATTAATCATTTTATAATTCTATAAATTCATCTCTTCAAATTAAAGCATTCCAATAATTATTCAATCTAAATACGACGTTTTAATCTCATTAATAAATCATCAACATAAGTTAACAAGCCTCTAAATGTTACACTTGATAACAACTCTTGTCCTTTTAATAACACCTCCAATCTCCGGCCTCCGGTGAACATTAATCCGGCAGGTACCAAGTAATCACAAAGATACACAATGTGATATCCATTGTGATATACTGTGATACCATTGTGATACCAATTATGATACCAACTCAAACCTTAAAAACAAAGATACACAATGTGATACCCATTGTAATACACAATGTGATACCCATTGTAATACACAATGTGATACCCATTGTGATATATACTGTGATACCGATTTCACAAGATGCCGGAGATTGGAGGTCGGAGAGATGAGAGAGGAGAGAGAAGTTTTTTAAAAATAGCTAATATGTCCTCTAATTATAATTTTAATTCGAAATTACCAAAATTATAAATTTCCTAATTTATCTATTGATTTGTGGTTGAGATTGGATCTCACGTTTACCACAAACTAATTAGTTCTCATTTGATTAGGCCCATATATATATATATAGGAGCCTAATCAAATGAGAACTAATTAGTTTGTGGTAACTGTGAGGTCCAATCTCAACCAAAAATCAACGGATAAATTAGAAAATTAATAATTATGGTAGTTTTGAATTAAAATTTTAATGCAAGGACATTTTAGGTATTTTAAAGCTCTCCTCTCTTCTCTCCTCATCCTCCGGCCATCGTCCTCCGGTGATACCATAATGGTATCACAATGCATCATATATGTGCTTGGGTATATACTGAGGTCGTTTGTGTGGTCGATTAGAGATGTAACACAGTGGTATCACAATGCATCTTATATATGCTTGGGTATCACACTGTGTCTTTTGTTTAACAGAATCAATATTTTTAGGTATAACAGTGGTATCATCGGAGGACGCAGGATGGTGGCCGGAGCCGGAGGACGAAGAGAAAAGAGAGGAGAGAAAATACCTAAAATGTCCTTGCATTAAAATTTTAATTCAAAATTACCAAAATTATAAATTTCCTAATTTATCTATTAATTTGTGGTTGAGATTGGATATCACGGTTACCACAAACTAGTCAGTTCTTCCTTGAATGAACCCCTATATATATATAGACTTGGGATCATGTGAGACCAAGGGTTTTTCGTGAGACCCGTAAGACCAATTCTCAACCCTTGTATTAGATCTACAATCTGAATATTCATAATCACAAAATTGCCATGAGACTTCTTAATAATCACAAAATTGCTACCATGCAACTTTAGACCATTAGATCATTAGCTTATAAAGTTGATCAATGAACATAAATTGGTCTTACGGGTCTCATGAAAAACCATTGGTCTCACGTGAACCCAACCCTAGTTTGTGGTGACCGTGAGATCCAATCTCAACCATACATCAATAGATAAATTAGGAAATTTATAATTATGGTAATTTTGAATTAAATATTTAATGCAATGACATTTTAGACATTTTCTCTTCTCTCTCCTCTCTTCTCTCTCCGTCCTCCGACCTGCATTCTCCGCTGATACCATTGTGATACCTAAAAATATTGACTCTGTTAAACAAAAGACAAAGTGTGATACCCAAGCATATATAAAATGCATTGTGATATCATTTTATTACATCTGCGATCCACCATACAAACGACCCCATTGTGATACCCAAGCACATATAAGATGCATTGTGATACCACTATGGTATCACCGGAGGCCAGAGGATGGGAGACAGAAAGAGAAGAGAGGAGAGAGGAGAAAGAAGAAATGAGAGAGAAGAGTTTTAAAATATCTAAAATGTCATTGTATTAAAATTTTAATTCAAAAATTACCAAAAAAAAAACTACATCTATTGCACAATTGAATTCTCATTTTATCAGTTTTGGTTTTCTTTTTATAAAATTGAATCTTCATAATTCATTATAATCGACTTTTTATTAGATGTGAGATTGTCGATGACTCGGTTCAATTGAATAGGCCGGTTCGGGGTTTTTAAATTAAGGGTAAAGATGGACCATTTAATAAAGCCAAATGGTCAAATGCTCAGCTTGCCAACTCTAGGGGCTACAAGTAAATGTTTTCATAGTATAGGGGTCAATATGGAGCATAGGTAAACTACAGGGATTCTTTTATAAAAATATCATCACAACTACGAAGGATCCCTTGAATAATTCCCGTATCAACAACCCTCCTTGGGCTGAATTCATTGTGTTCTTCGATTTTGCTAGATCATCCAGCAAGCTAAATATCAATTCTTTGATCAGGTGCTTCTCTTTCTCTTTGTTGATATTATCTATATCCGCAAATCGCCATTGTTTTTTTTTTGTTAAGAATCAGCTTCTGTGCAATTATGGCGGGATGCATTCCTGTTATTCAGCTGACCTTATTTGACCTTCTAATTTCATTACATTTGTTGGGTTTTTTGTTTTCTGGGTTTATCTTATGTGCGTTGATGATCCATTACTTAGCGTATTTATTAGGCAAATTGGGGTTTTGTTATGTTTTCTTCTTTTCTTTTCCAATTGTCGGAATGGATAGTATTGCTAATAGAATCATGTACTTCTGTTCATTTGATGCTGAAGGTGTCGATGAATTAAGCTTACATTACAAGGCCTGTATACACCTTTTCTTCATTTAGGTTTGTGGGTATAAGAAACTAAGTTGAAAGTAGTGTAATTCCCCCTTTTATTGATAATAGAATTCAGATTTATCAGTATATTTTTATATAAGTTGTGGATTTCTTTTATCTATAGTAACATTTATTAACCTGTAGATTTCTCAAGTCTACATGATGTTGTTTCTTTGCCAATTAGGAGCTAGGGGGTTTCTGATAGATTTAGAGACCTTGAAACTATGATCAAGATTTTTGCTTCTGATATTTAGAATAGAAGGAATATATGTTTAGATTTATGCATCGAGCATTTGAGCTGAGATTGATATTTCATGTCTCAATTGATGCAATTCTGAAATAGGATAACTTTAACCCATCTTTGCTAGCAATCATACTCACATTTGCATGCTTCTCCTCCTCTTGTGATCTTTAGAACTCTGCTAAATCTGCATTGAAAGGTGAAAATTGCTGTATTTTTTAGTCATCATTTTCTTAGATGGGCCATAAGTTAATTTTTTGTTTATGAACAAGGCCTATTGGAAGTAGCTTTGAATTTGATGCAACCGTGCAACTTATGTGCTAGAATTGAGAATCAATTATTAGAATATACAGTTTCGTGCACATTCTTTTTGTTTTCCTCATTCTGTTTTGTCGAGGAGAGGGTGGATGAAACAAAGTACTAAAATCAGAACAAAGAACAAACCATATAATTGCACAACAATTTATCTGGAAAAACCCTCAAATTGAGGTAAAGGACCATGGTTTAGGAGATGGCGCCAAAAATATACAACTAATAGTATTTACAGACGCACTCTATCAAAGTGACAAACTGTCACACAATTGCCCTCAAGAGGAAACTCTCAAGAAATGATTATGATTTTCTTAACATTCTAGCACTATTCTTACAAGAATATATATCTATGCAAGATGACATACAACCAACCAAAACTACTGCAAACTGTCTGTCAACAAAAACTGCTATTGAAAACTAAACTAGAAAATACCACGTCTATGTAGGACATTAGACTGCATTGGTGTGGTTTCCGTTGTTGTAGAACAAGTTGGACAATACCTCACCGATGTGGGGTTTGATGTTTTCCGACAAAAACAGAAACGTTGATCTTCTTGAATGAACAGGGTAGTAAATGAAACAGGATTGTGGTCCTGCTGCAAGTTACATTACATAGTTGACCAATGATTGATTTAATCATTGTGATCATATTGAGATTATTGATTTCCCTGATGAAAATGTTGGATGCGGTGAAAAAAAGAATGGAGAAATAAAAGATCACAAACATGTAAAGCTTATTTGAGTTGTTTCTTGAAAGAGCGATTAGCATTTTGAATCATTGTACTTGACACTTGACACTTCATTTATATACAACCAACATACTTGCAAAAATAAGAAGCCAATACTTGAGTTGATAGAAAGAGAACTAATGTGGTTTTCCTGCTATTTTCAACCCACTGTAGTCTTTCTGTGGCTACCCAACTTGAGTTGTCTTTGCATCTTTGTAGTTTCGTAGGTATTTAGTGTCAAGTAGGATGATTTGAAATGCTAGTCATTCTTTTCTGAATTTAATTATCGTACGTTCTTCATCACCGTTCATGCGTTACATGCTTTATACTTTTGTTCAAGCATATAACATAAGCAATATTTTGCCCCAAATTTATGACTATGGCATCATGTAGAAACATGCTATGAAAAGGATGTTAATACGTGTTTCTGTAGGCAAGAATTTTTCATATTTTGTTTTTCTCAGTGTTGGTTTTAAGGGTGTTACTGCAATTTTCTTACCTGTTACGTATATCATATGCTTAATCAAATTTACTGGTGATAACGTTTGTTTTCAGAACGACTCCGGGTTATATATACAGAAATAACGTAGTGTGACTGATCTGATTCAACCATTTTCTGGGTGCCATATGGATAAGACAGAAAACAATGACGATTTTACCTTTTGTCAGGCAAGTTCTCTCCAGATTCTCTATTAGCTGTGAACTTGATGAATCTTTCTTTGTAACATCTCCAGGGGATTTTTTTTGTTTGTTGGTCTTCATTACTATTTAGGTTGGTGTTCCTGATGACGAAAACAGTAATGCACAGAAAGGTATTCCAGATGTTAGCAGTATCAGTATAAATGACGAAAATAAGAATAGTGGAACTATTTGGAGTGACAATTCGAGAAGTACTGCGGATTTGGAGAAGCATGAAAAAGTTGGATCCTTAACTTTTAAGGTTATTGATGCATCGTCGCAAAAAAAGCCGACAGAACGTCCCAAACAAGCAGCAGTAGATGTTGGAAGTTCAGTTGATACGTCACAGAGACCCAAAATTGTTGCGAAGAAGCCGGCATCCCGGGCGAAGGTTCCTTTTCAAATTGGGTATAGCCATATGGATTGGCTCAAGCTTACTCGCACGCATCCTGATCTGGCAGGTACATCTACTGCTTCAATATGTAAACATCTCATCATGTTCTATCTGTTTTGTGATGTTTTACGTGCTTCTGTTTTAGGTTTCTAATGATTTTTTTACTTCGAGTATAGACTTTCCGAATCCTCGTGCTTGACTTTCTGTTACAAACAAACCATCATTCTTGTAAAAATGCAAAAGAAAATTCTACACTTAGCAAGATTGAGCTAATTTGGACAAAAAGTGTCAAGTGTGATTTTTTCTCTTTTGTATTATATGTTTTCACATTTTGTTCAAATCCACTCCTTGCAAACTATGGCCTTTTTTTTAGACTTCCACAATGGTTGGTTTGCCAAAGGTAAAAAAGAAATACTAAGCATGATGGTCCAAGAGGTCGATCACTTTTGCTTTCTTACCTTGTGAGATAAAATAACATGTTACAGAAATGATTAGAGTTCGCCTTAAAATCTAGGAATTCAAAGACAATATTTTCGACGGTTTTATACATAATTAGATACAAAACGAACAAAGTGAATCTTTATCTGATTTATAAAAATTGTTGGTAATTTAAGAATATCATTTTTTTTAAAAGGCTGTTTGCATGAAAAACTAGAAAATACTATTCAAGATTGAAGAGTTCAGGATGTGTGCATTTGCAGTTTGAAAGCTACAATTCACACCTACAAGCCACTAATCTCACTAATCAGAATTTATCCAACCATTCATCTACATTTACCACAACTCCCACTAACTAGTTCTGCAACATCATGTGTTTGTACTGCAAACATCACTTAGGGGTAATCCATAAGGTAATGTAAGTAGGAGGAAATGAAAAATGGAAGATAAAGGAAAATACTTTCTCCTACCATTCATCCGTATTGATGTAACTAATGATAAAATAGTCTAACATAATAAATAACAAAAAAAGAGTAAACTCTAATTTTGGTCCCCGAGGTTTAGTGAAATCTTTGAAAGTGAGACTTGAACTTTGATAAGTCTAGAAATCGTTCTTGTGGTTCTCATTTTGCTTTGAAAATGGTCCCTGGTTACTAACTTCGTGAACGATCTCCGTTAGAGTGAGGGGCGGTTTAGTCTTTTTACCTATTTTCTTAAATATCTTTAAAGAAAATATGATATATAATTTATATATTGTTTCTTAAATAATATATTATATTTTTTAAAATTTATATATTATTTATTTATTATTATTATATATACACATATTATATTTTTTTTAAATATATATATATATATATATAAAAATTTAAATTAATATATAAATTTAAAAAATATATAATATATAATTTATATATTATATTTTTTTTAAAGATATTTAAGAAAATAGGTAAAAATACTAAGCCACCCCTCAATCTAACGGAGATTGCTAATGGAGTTAGTGACCAGGGACCATTTTCAGAGCAAAATGAGAACCACAAGGACAATTTCTAGACTTATCAAAGTTCAGGTCTCAGTTTCAAAGATTTCACTAAACCTTGGGGACCAAAATTAGTGTTTACTCTAAAAATAGGAAAAACACATGAAGACGAAGACAAAGTCACATCAAAACTACCCACATATTAGAAGTATGCAGTAAGGTGGCACTCATTTCTATTACTTCCCCTTAGTGCAAGCTTACAATCAAAGACTCCAGAGCATCTTGAAAGTACTAAAACTTGGGATCCACAAAAGTCTTCGGCATTGGTCCGAACACTTGTTTGCTTGAATTTCTTAGCTTAAAACTTTCTCTTGAATGGTGTGATGCTGGATCTCAACAAGCATGAAAATTGGACTTGATGCAAGTTTGATAGCACTTCTGTTATCACACTTAATCTGCACATGTACTCGATTAGCCTCTTCAATGAAATGCACTCTTGTGCAGCCACCGTTACCACATATTCAGCTTCAGTCCTAGACAAAGCAATAACATCCTGTTTCTTGTTTTGCTCCAAGAAAACATGTATGCAGTTTGGCTCTATTGGAGTAGCCTTTCCATTAACTCACCCATGCCAAAAATGCTCTAAAGAGGCTTTTTACATAGTCCTCTTGAGAATAAAATAACCTTGCTCTGATTTTTCCATTTCTAGACCAAGACAACATCCAATCTCTCCCAAAATTTTCATCTCAAAACTAACGGCAAGCCATTCCTCAGATTAGATATATCTGGTTCATTATCTCAAGTAATTATCATATCATTGACGCATATTATAATTAGGACATACGAATTTGATTTTAGTTTTATAAATAAACTAGAATCTACAAGTAGAAATTCTAAAACCACAAGATACGAGACATTAAGCAACTTCACCATACCAAGCTCGTGTTGCTTTGGGTCATAGAGATCTTTCTTCAGGCAGCAAACATGTTACAGAAATTGCTTAGCTGAGGTTTCTCCCTAGATATTTTCATCATCTACCACTCTTTAAAGAAAGGCATATTTTTACATCAAGCTGCCATTATTTCAAACCTATAAAAGCAGTAAGTGAAATAGTCGATCTCGCCATATGATTCTTCTGATGGTCCAATCGATAATTTTGAGAAAATTCACAAGCAACTAGAACTTTAAACCTCTCAGTGGTACCATCTGATTTTTTTCTCATGAGAAAAACTCTTTTGCAAGTGACTGGCTTAACACCTTTTTGCTTGGATACAACTCCATGCTCATTTCTGTCTAAAGCATCAACCTACTTTTGCATTCTTTGCAGCTTGTTGGCTATTCTATAACTGATGCTTCTGTTAGAGTCATGAAGCGAGTGTTAAGTTCTACCTAATAATCTTTTAGATAGTTTGGTTTCTTTCCCTTTTGACCTTCTCACTACTTATTGCTCATCTTCCACTCTTGTAACAATTTGAGGTGAATATCATCGAACCATTGTCACTGCAAAAGACAACATATCTTCTTTCCAAACTCTTCTGGTTGTCAGCAATGTTGATTGTTACAATGCCTACGTTTACTATTTGGTAGGCTGAGTTGTCTACAGTGATAATAACTGGCTCTCCATGATGTTCCCCCTGAACAGCGTTTCATCTCTGGTTACATGGTGAGAGCAACCTAAATCAGTGATCCATTCGTTGTTGTTGGCATAATTGACACAAGCTTGGGCCCTTCTGTTCAACAACTTCATAGGAAAATATTGCTCCCATTTTTCTTGATTAGAGAGCAAATCCGTTACTCTTCTACAGAAGGCTTCATCAACCACCCTTTTAATCGAAGAAACAAAAGGCCCATTTCTTCAATCTGTGAACAAGATAGCAAAATAGGCGTGCCCATGGCTTTAGCTTAGCAGGTAAGGAGGTGTGCATCCTTGCAGAATAAGTGGTTGGGGATCGACTCTAGGCACCACCCACCTGCCCTTGGTACATGCAATTTACCTCCCTCATGGTGGTGGCGTCATACCCTGTATACAGAGAGAACAAAATAGACGAGATACAATAATTTTGTCAATCCACATCTATCTATGGAATTTCAGCCCAAACATTTTTAGATCGTAAAAAATATTCTGAAATTGGCATACCTTTTTGCTTTAACATTACCAATTTGTTCTCCAACAACTGCAACCTTGTCCCGTTTCTCTTGGTAAATAGCCTAAGTGTTCCGCAAACTCCTTTGGAGAACTGCATCACGAACATGAAGAATAAACTCGTTGCAAATAGATTTTCTGAAGCCAAATAATATCTTTCCATGCCTGATTAACCACTTCCTTTGTGATTCAGCATTCTGAGGAACATCAGCACCAGCAATTAATTCCCTAATGTCCTGACCTTGAATCCATACACATTCTTCAGCACTTGTTTCGAGTATTTCCATTGTTCGCTACCTCTAGTACAACAAACAGCGGGTTTCAGTTTAGAATGCAATTTTGAAGCTAGAACTCACGTATTTAAAGGTACAAGCAACTAAAGCCACTAATCCTACTAACCAAATTTCTCCAATTCTTTATCCATGTTTACCAATATTCCCACTGGCTAAACTACCATTCATACATATTTATTACCAACATATAAAGTATTGATCATAATTAATGAACCATATTCATCTTCCATAAATATTCAAATCATAATAAATGAACTCTCATAATTTCCATAAATATCTCAATTTATTGGGTTGCATTGATTGTACAAATGCGACGGTTTGTACTTAAAACAAACTCTCTCTCTCTCTCTCTCTCTCTCTCTCTATATATATATATATATATATATATATATAAAACTAGTATTTCAAAACATTTGAATCCTGTTTTTAACAAGAACAGCACCACGAACTTTCTTTTTACTTTTTCTAGGGGTAGGCTTTTTTAATATCTTGTAGAAGTGATATGTAATGTGCTTTTATCACCATTCTTTGAGGTTCCTTCTTGTCTTGATGGCTAGTTCTTCACTTCTCATTCCAATGGAGTACATGACTAAGGTTGGAAGCTCTTTTGCCTCATAAAAAATTGTAATGTTTGACAATTGATGGGATACTGTATACACCTTTTTTTACAAAAACAGAGGAATCTTGTAGACCGAGTTCGATATCATCATTTTATTTGTAATGGTTGTATGTAATTTAACATGAAAACTTCCTCAAAAAGTAAATATTGCAATCTTCAAGTGACATCTTGAAAGAGTGTTGCAGTTTACAAAAACAGAGTGTTGCAGTTTACATCTTGAAAGAGAATGTTGCAGTTTACATGTGACATCTTGTATGTACTTTCACGATCATAACCACTTATTTTTAGTTGAAGAACCATCTTTTATGCTTTTGGTTTGTTAATCAACTTGCCAAACTTGAGAGCCTTGAACATGGTACTTAAGTACTTGTTAACTTAACCAAGTTGAGCTTAGTCAAGTTAGCATGAATGCGAGTCTGAATTTGGTGGAATTTATGATTCAAGGATTAAAGGGACAGTCGAACAAGAGGCTTATATCTTTAGCTGAAGTTAAACAACACCAAACAGAGGACTCGATGTGGACTGTTCTTAAAGGCCGTGTTTACAACATCACCCCATACATGAAGTTTCATCCTGGAGGTACTATCATATTATTTCTTTCATCATATACAACGCTATGAATTGCCGTAAAGACATTGTATATGTGTGTGTGTATATATATATATATATATATATATATATATATATATATATATATGCGATTTTTGATTAATCAAGTTTGTAAGAAATGAAAAGAATGTTTTGTGCATTTTTGGTTAAGGGTTTCAAGTCATGAAAATAGTATCTTTTCAGAATCTAGACTTGATTCTGTTGGATATGTAGGCTGATTTGTACACTAGAACTTTGCAAGAAGATGGTTGGGTGCCCGCTTTCCTGTATTCCGTGTTTTATTTTCTTATAATTATAATAGGGGTCGGTCTTCATTACATGTGTGGATATAGACCAATCGTATGCTGTGTTTTTTGAGTAATCGTCTATTTTTCAGGTGTCGATATGTTGATGAAGGCGGTTGGAAAAGATTGTACAGCATTATTCAGTATCCTTCTTATTTGTTTTTCAGACCATCAAGCATGTCCTTTGATTAGTATTTCCTATCATAAGTTGAAATCCCCTATCCTTTTGCCAATGTTTTTGGAATGCACGACTTCTGCAAAAGGGTATATGACGCCAGTCTCTGGAACCCACCCCCATGGTACCGGTTCGGTCGATCATTTATTCACCTTCTTTGGAAAACACAGCTTGTTAAAACATAATGCTTAAGTTGCATGTGTATGTTTCCTAATAAGGGTGCAATTTTCCTTAGCGCGTTTCTTTAGATAAATACCATGCTTGGGTGAATGCGGAGTTCATGCTGGAGAAGTGCCTCGTCGGTGTTCTTGAAGATAGCCGGCGATGATTTTTGAAAAGATAAATTTCTACATCATATTCGTATTATACGCTCAGATCAAGAAACACCAAGACTATTGTAATATTTGACATGTCTAATGTTGTAATGATTTACATGTTGTACATTCATCTGGATATTTGCATATGCAGATTTATTTTCTTTTACAGATTCACCTAGTCATCTCCAACCAAACGGTATAACATTAATTTTTTTGTATTAATCAACGAACCGTACAAATTTCTGTGATCATGTTATGAAAAGAAATAAAACCATCCCCAACCGAAATTGGTTGACTTTTTTGTGTATATTAATTTAAATGAACACTTTATATATATATATATATATATATATATATATATAGGGAAGGGTTCAAACGAGAACCCTTATGATTTACGAAAACGCAAAAACAACTCAATTCAAGTGTAAAAATCGTCTCACAAAAACTTTGTTAAACATGAACTCGACCCTATATATATAACATATATATATATATATATATGTTTTGTAATTATTGAGAAATCTTGTGGTAATTTTGTGATTAAGAATGTTGAGATTGTAGATCTAATCCAAAAGTTGAGAATTGATGTTATGGGTCTCACGAAAAAGCCTTGGTCTCATATGATCTCAAATCTATATATATATATATATATATATATGTATATATATATATGTATATATGTGTGTGTATATATATATATATATATATATATATGAATTAAAAGGAGGTTTATCAAAGCATGTTAGCTATTTTTCGACCCAACAGAAAAACACTTTTAACACATATTTAGCACATGATGATAAGGGCCCAAACTAACCAATGGCAACCAGGGACCAAACTCGGTGGTCCTTTCACCATGAACCAATGGGTTCACAGCCCCTTAACAGATTGATTCATTTGGTGGGTTTGAACTCGTAAAACTATTGGAAATGATTGCAGATCTTAAACAACATTTCATTAAAAAGGGTTCGATTTAAAAACGATCAAACCAACACATACAGTAACCTCAAATTTACCTCTATGCTCGAATAGGGGAAACCTTAACTTCATCAACAACTGGCCCACAAAGAGACCCGAAATCATCAACCCTCGTGTGATAATACGAGCTGTAAAACGTCACTCTGGTTCTTGCCGATATCGCTGTAAACTTCATGCTCACCGTCTTCCACTTCCCCTTCCCTACCGATTTGAACGCCGCTTTCAGGGTCTCTTTTCCGGCAAAGGCTTCCACCATCATGTCTCCATGGCACCCGTTCTTCGCATCTCCAATGGCGAAGCTTAGGTTGTACAGTTTGTTCGGGATCGTCCGGAGGATTTGGGCGATGGCGCTTTCTCTTCCGGCGACTAGTTCAATGGCGGCAACACCGGATGGGACGTTGAAATGCTTGGCGTCGATGAATTTAACGGCTTTTAGAGACTCGATGATCCAGCCGGGAAGTGGGGATGTGATGTCTTCTTGTCTTGGAGGGAGGAGGACGCCATTGGAGGAGTTGAACAACCGATGAGGACCTTCTTCGAATCCACCATTCTTCACCAAATTAACTGAAACAAGAATCATCAAAAGCCATCATTTAGAACTCGCTTCAATAAAATTGAGTTTGCAGGACGTCTGAATGTTTAAGTGTTTTATTATCTATGAGAGCAAAAAGCTCTTACTCCTAAATCTCCATTTTTAGAGAACCTCTTAATATGACATTTATTTTTAAAATATTCTTAAAAAATCCCAAAAATGGAGATATACTTACATCGAGTAGGTCTGGGAGGGAGGAGCTCTTTAATGGCGACGGCATCAATGAGTGGGCCACATTTGGGATCTTCTTGAACTCCAGGGTTATGGAAGATCAACTTCACACTGCTTGATTTCGCCATAAACCCATAAGCATACACATCGCCACCGTCACTACTGTACAGAGTCTGCAGCGGAAGATCGCCGGACTGGGGCGGCACCGACACTCTCAACACCTCCTCCTGCGCACAAGTTCTCGAAGCACCAAACGTCACGGCGTACAGAGACCCAGCTTTCACGGCAATGGTTTGAGATACAGTGGCTTCGTTGCCGAGCCTGACAGCGTGGACGCCATGTGCAACCGGAAAGTACATCCCGCCGGGCTGAGGTCCGCCATGGATGTACTCCACAAGGCCGGTGATTTCCCATTTGGGTAAGGCGTTTTTGCCCAGAAGAACTGTTTTCTTCATGTCGCTCGCCTTTGGTGGTTCTTCAAAGTTTCCATTTGGTAAGAGACCTGCAAATGAAACACCGCCAACAATGGCGTCACAGAAGGAACCAGATCCAGCTTATATAACAACTGGTTATGTGTACAAATCTGTTAAGTAATGGGTGTTTATGAATTCGAGATCTGAACTGAAAAAACATACCTTCCAATGGAGTGGGAGGAGGAACAGCAGCAAGAACACAAGTGGAAACTAAGGTGAAAGTAAGAAGAATGCAGACAAAATCCGCCATTTTTACAGAGAATGAGAATGAGAATGAAAATGAAAAGAGAGATGGGTTTGGACGGGAAGAATTAGGGGTTTTATGCTTGAAATTTATATTAAAAAAAGAAGATTTAATCTTGAAAAATGAGAAGGGGAAACTGACAAAGATATATCTCTGGTCGTTGGATAAACAAGGGATTGTAGTTGATGATGATGATGATGGCCACGAGGGATGTTTGAGGGTTGGAAGTTGGAACCCACAAATTTGTTTCCACGATTAATGCAAATCTAATTCATAATCAAAACCAAACAAAATAATGCTTTCTCTTTATTAATTATTTTGTTTCAATTTATCCTTTTTATATTAATAATTAAGATATAAGTGGGTGAAGGTATGAGTGAAAGATGTCAAAAGTATGAGAAGATGAAGACATGAGTGAAAGATGTCAAAAGTATCTTGAAAACATGAAAAAAATAGATAATAATGTGTATTGGTATCTTGTACCATATGTTATTTTAATTGTAGATTAAGAGATTTTAAGACTTGATGCATAAAATAATAGTATTTAATGCATTATGAGTTGTTTTTAAGACTTTGTACATAAATGTATAGTACTTTGTGCATTAAAAATTGTTTTTAAGACTTTTGATAAATCTGGTTTATAAGGTAGTATAGATATACTAGGTTCGATTTCGTGTATTACACGAGGTAATTTAACAAAATTAAATCATGTCAGGAACTTATCTTACAGATATGAATGATTATCGAAAGTACGATGTTACTTTAGACTTATACTCTTGTAATAACTCTGAAGTATAACTCTGGAGAAATAACTTTGAAATATGACTCTTTAGACTTGAATTTATAAATAAAACTATATCAATAATTAGTTAAAATGAAGTTTACTGTAGAATAAAATTAAATTTAGAAATGAAACTATATAAGTAAATTGAATTTAAACTTAGAAGTAAATTTAGAATAACTCTTCCGACTTGTACTCTTGAAATAACTCTAAAGTATAACTCTGAAGAATGACTCTTCAGACTTGTACTATTGAAATAACTCTGAAGTAAAACTCTTCAAATTTCAGAGCTTTGTATAGGACGAGCCAAAAGCTTTGCATGCACTATACAAAGGCTACGTATGGTGCTCTGCATGGTGCTCCGTCTAGAAAAAAAAGACTTCAAAGTTCGGGTGAGCTAACTCTGAAGAATGATTCTTCAGAATTGTACTCTGGAAATAACTCTAAAGTAAAACTCTAAATAATGATTCTTCAGACTTGTACTTTTGAAATAACTTTGAAGTATAAATTCAGTCTCACTAAATCAAAGTTCAGACTTCTAAGTCTGAAAAAAAAAGACTTCAAAGTTCAGGGGAGCTAAGTTTGAAAAAAAAAAGATTTCAGAATTCGGGTGAGCTAACTCTAAAAAGTGACTCTTTAGACTTGTACTCTTCAGAGTTGTAGAAGACTTTAGAGTTCAGACTTCTAAGTCTGAAAAAGAAGACTTCAGACTTCTTTTTCTAAGTCTAAAAAAAGACTTCATAGTTCAGACTTTAGAGTTAGGGTGAGTTAAGTCTGAAAAAGTAGACTTCAGAGTTCGGGTGAGTTAACTCTTTAGAATGACTCTTCAGACTTGTACTTTTGAAATAACTCTGAAGTATAACTCTGAATAATGACTTCAGACTTGTACTCTTGAAATAACTCTGAAGTAAAACTCTAAAGAATGACTTCAGACTTGTACTATTGAAATAACTCTGAAGTATAACTCTGAATAATGACTCTTCAGACTTGAATTTAGAAATGAAACTATATCAATAACTAGTTAAAATGAAGTTAATCCAAAATTGAATTAGAAATGAAATTATATCAGTAAATTGAATTTAAACGTTGTGTCAAATATGAAGACCTTGAGTTCGTAGTTATTCAAATACTCAATATCTTTGAAAAAGACCCCCTGGTAAAGTTTGCATCATACAAAGCAAGACCAACCAGATATCCTTTGGTCCTTAAGGACCATAGCCCCTATGGACTCACCAACCAAGAGGAAGATCCAACCAAAGGCCCTTTGGTCAACCAGAGCCTCTGAGTCAAAAAAATGTTAAATACTTAAAGAATTTGAGTTCTAATTACAACTAGAGACCCTCTACTTAAACATGAAGATCAACAAGAGCCCCTCTGGTTTCTTTTATTATGGATTATATATTTTTTCAAGATTCAAATAAACAACCAGAAGAAAATCCATCCAGAAGCCCCTGGCTTACAAGACTAAGTCTAAGTCTTAAAGACTTATCTTCAAAATCTAGATAAGTTTATTACAAGACTTGTCCTCTTGAAATTACTTTGAAGTAAAACTCTTTAGACTTTAGAGCTTCGTATAGGCAAGCCAGAAGCTTTGCATGCACTATGCAGAGGCTCTACATCGTGCTCCGTCTAGAAAAGAAGACTACAGAGTTCGGATGAGCTAACTCCAAAGAATGACTCTTCAGACTTATACTCTGGAAATAACTCTGCAATAAAACTCTGAAGAATGACTCTCCAGACTTGTACTCTTGAAATAACTCCAAGTATAAAATCAATCCATCAAATCAGAGTTCAGACTTCTAAATCTGAAAAAAAAGACTTCAGAGTTCAGGTGAACTAAGTCTGAAAAGAAAACTTTAGAATTCGGGTGAGCTAACTCTGAAGAATGGTTTTTCAGACTTGTACTCTTCCAAATTGTAGAAGATTTCCAGAGTTCATGTGAGCTATGTCTGAAAAAGCAAACTTCAGAGTTTAGGTGAACTAACTTTAAAGAATGATTTCAGACTTGTTCTATTGAAATAACTCTGAAGTAAAACTTTTCAATTGAATTTAGAATAAAATGAAGTTAATCCTATAATAAAATGAAGTTAATCCTATAATAAAATTGAATTTAGAAATGAAACTATATCAATAAATTGAATTTAAACTTAGAAGTAAACACCATTTTTTCGGGAATCATTTATCACACGAATTAATTAACCCAATAATAAAATCAATTGCATTCTAAATTAGTGAGATTGATTGAATAAAAGGACACATATCAATCAAATGAGTATAATTGAACTATTAATATAAATTGTGTTTATATGCGTTCAAATGAGTCTAATTGAACCACTAATGTGAATTGTGTTTAGATACGTGTTTAGGTGGAAAACAAGATAACCGACTAACCAAAAGACGACACGTGTCACTCATGTTACTTATTTATTATATGTACTAGGTTCGATCCCGCGTATTACACGGGGTAATTTGAAAAAATTAAATCATGTCAGGATATGAATAATCATCGAAAGTACGACGTTACTTCAAATTTGTACTATTGAAATAACTCTGAAGTATAATTCTGAATAATGACTCTGAAAAATGACTTTTCAGACTTTAATTTAGAAATGAAACTATACTAATAATTAGTTAAAATGAAGTTAACCCTATAATAAAATTAAATGTGTTATTTTGAAGAAATACATATTTTTGGCAAAAAAAAAAAAAAACCTTTTATAGCCGACATGTTAACCAACAAAACTCGTCTTACAGAACTCCTTGACAACATCAGCAAGTGATAGCTGAAAGCTGTCACGATAAGTTATCAGCGATAAGCTGAAAGCTGTCACGATAATCTGAAAACACAAGCTGAAGGCTGTTAGCAATAAGCTGTCAGATTAGCTGAAGGCTATCAGCAATAACCTGTCAGATTAGCTGAGGGCTGTCAATGATAAGCTGTCAACGATAAGCTGAAAGCTGCCTCTTCAGTGATAGCTGAAAGCTGTCACGATAAGCTGAAGGCTGTCAGCAATAAGCTTTCAGATTAGTTGAAGGCTGTCAACAATAAACTGTCAGATTAGCTGAAGACTGTCAGTGATATTGCATACTACTAACCATTCTACACAAAGATATAAACATGACCGTCTTTATCGATTTTGAAATTAAAACAAATTTGTTTGACTCTTGAAAGTAAAAAATAAACGCTAATTGTAGGACGGAGATGATAAAGAATGTAACAACTGCATGCCTTAATGATCTAAAGAGCTAGAAAAGAAGCCCATACGACTATTAGAGTCCTAAGCATCTTCCAGTAGGGGTGCACAAAAAACCGTCAACCCGCGAAACCCGCCCAACCCAACCCGCTAACAACCCAATTAAACCCAACTCGCCTAACCGCTAATATATAATTTTTATAAAATTATATATATATATATATATATATATATATATAGGTGGAGGTTCAAACGAGAATCCCTGTGATTTACGAGAATGCGAGAACAACCTAATAAACTCAAACATTTTTAATTAATAAATTAACTTATATTAAATATAAATAACTTAATAAGGGCACTAATGTAATTAAGTACTTTTTATAATTTTTATTTTATTTTAATTAGTCATAATTATCCCTTTTTTCCTGCACGTTCGTTTCCACTCTCTTCTTTCCTCTTGTGATAATTGTGTGAGTGTGTAACCATAACCTATATAAACCATGATCAGTCAAGTGTAACCATAACCTATCGAAACCATGAGTAATCGTTGTGATAAATGTGTGATTGTCTAACCCTAACMGATCGAAACCATGATCAAATTGAGTGCACAAGTGATGTTATAATAGTGATATCACATGATTATCACACTCATATCACACCAAATCGTTTAGTGGATGTCGCTCGTAATCGTTGTGATAAATGTGTGATTGTCTAATTCTAACCTATCGAAACCATTAGTAATTTGTGATAAATGTGTGATTGTCTAACCCTAACCGATCGAAACCATGATCAAATCGAGTGCGCTGTTATGATAGTGATATCACATGATTATCACACTCATATCACATCAAATCGGTAGTCGATTTTCTAAGTCAACCCTAGCCGAGCGGAATCCTTGTGATAATTGTGTGATAATCACACCAAATCGTGTTGATATAAGCGATAATGTGATAATCACATGATTATCACACCCAAATCGTGTTGATATAAGCGATAATGTGATAATTGTGTGATAATCACATCATTATCACACCCATATCACATGATTAA